GAGCTAAATGCGAATCAATATAATTTGCAAATTAAATTGAAATTGGATATACATATTGTGTTAAGTGTGTTAAAAATCGAAATCGGTCGAAAAAAACCAAAAATGCTCCTTTCTTGACCCGCTTGAGGGTTAAAAAGTGTCATCAAAAAAAACTTCGTATTTTTATTTACAATATTGTCGGAGACCTAAAATCAACAAAATCTAAATCCGAAAATTAAAAAAAGTAAGCGAACGCTATAGTCGTGCGGGGCCGACCATGTGATACCCTACAACACTACAATATGTAGGAAGCCCCCTTATGTCCACATCCATTTTGGAAGATTTCGCTTTTGAAATTATGTCATAGAACACTGCTCAGATATTACCTTTAGCTTTTGACCAAGGACATTTGCCCAATATTTACGCACTCCTTCGTGCTGTTAGTTACAGCTAAATATAATCCAATGGTCATCCAAAATTCTAGACTTCTCTCCTGTCCTTAACTCTCTCCTCATGCAAAATTCCGTGTCGATTAGGTGATTAGGAAAATTTTTCTGTTTTTGCATTTTAACCCCAAAAATTTTTTCGATCATCTTCAAATGCAATTTTTTCACACAAAAGTAGAGGTCCATTCTACCCACTCTCCTCAACTCTAGCTTCATGCGAGATTTCGTGTCCTTTGGTTTCTATGTGTGACCTTTATAACGGCTGCAAAATCAGCAACATTTTTATTTGTTAGTCTACTTCAACCTCTAAAAATATTGCGGACATCCTTAAAAACAATGTGTATTGTATATACACATTGTATATATTTCGCTATATATCCGATTTGGTCCATTCAACCCCTAAATATTATGCGATCCTCTCCAAAAGAACAGGCTTCTATTCTGACCATAATCCCATCTTCATGCAAAATTTCGTGAGGATTGGGGCATAATTGCGACCTGTAGAGTGATTACAAATAACCATGGACAGACGGATGGACGGACATACATAGCTAGATCGACTCAGCTCGGCTATATGAAGATCCACATATACTTTCCTATGTGGGAAACCAATATTTCGAAGTGTTACATAATTCTTGGCCCAACACATAGTGTTGTAGGGTATAAAAATGTGGAAGAGTTTAGAACTTGCTTGTAAACTTTCATAACGCGGATATACGTCAGCCATCTACAGTTGCATATCATTTGGATCGCAAGACCAAAAAGTTGTGATATCAAAATCGAATTCTATTATCAAAAGTTCATTTGCTATATTTTACCAATGGCTGGGCTTGAAAATTGTAAATGTTTGTTACCGAGAGACGATTCAATGTACCTATCACATTTTTTTTATCATTTTTCGATTTTTTATAAATTAAACAGCTATTTGAAACGCTAGCATTATTTGAATTTAAAATTTTTAAATATTGAAAAGCGAACCACCCCAGTACACACAGTGACGTTCTTAAATACTTTGATAACAGGTTGGTTGATAATTCAATTATCAATCAGAAATTCTATTAGCTAATATTTGATAAAAACTGAGGGGGCACAAAATGCCATTGCTAATGAAATGTATTAACATCGAGCTTTAAGATTTTTTTTATGGAAACTCAAAAAAATAAACATAATATAACTTAAAGTGGTTTCAATGAAACTAATGCCAACAACCATGTCACAATAACATATTTTTAGATCTCCCATTATCTGAAATATTCAACTACTTTTCCTCAGAAATTGAAACAATTTCACCCCCCCCAAAAAAAAACAGTTTTCCTTCCACAGCTATTTCATTCCAAAAACTTCTCCTTTATTTAATTACGGAAAAAATGTGATAAAATCAATTTGGATGATTGCCACCCAGCCAACTTTGAGCTAAACAACTATTTTTCCGAGCATTGAAATGTTAGAAGAAAACATTTATATGGCCAATTGTTGTTGTTGTTGCTGTTGATGACGTGATGGCAACGATAACAACCGAAATTATTTGGCAAATTAACGAAAATTGCCGGCAATCATCTATGCCGAAGACTACTTTGAATTGGCAAGAATCGTTGGCTGGCTGGCTGGCTGATGCTTTGGCCAGGATTTGATGGCCGGCAGTGATGGGGTGAGGAAAAGTTTCGGGAAGGTAATTAAGTGAGTAGAGACAATGTAAAGTTAAATATTTGATGGAGCGTGAAAGTTAAATTGAAGAGGTCGATGTGTGTGCATGTTGGGCAATGGCAATGTGTGTATGCGTGTGTGTGTATTTTTTTCTAAGAAAAGGGGAGATTTAAGAGATATTTCACAACTTATTCCAGGGGAACTCTTAATATACAAGAAGATATAACAAGGAACTTTGTAGCTTTTTGTAATAGGTGCTTTCCTGTAATACTTAATTTTGGTTTCAACGAAATGATGTCTATGGAAATATGAAATTATTTAAAGGCAGCTCCTATGGGAAATTTTATTGAAAGAGTCTTTTCAGGTTATTTAAATCCGAAGATGTTTGATTCTTGTTCCATGAGATTTATAATTATTGTGGGCATTGGAAATCGATCGAAATCGATGTGTGTCCTTCTATTACATTATTTATTATCAGACTCTTATTTCATATTTTAGAAGAGTTACAGTTATTTTAAACTTTGACTCTTTGTGGGGGAGTAGCCAGAAGGGGTGGAGCGATATATCACATCTTGGCACCAGTTCTGGTGTTAGTGGACGTATTGCGGTGTACCGAGTTTAACAAAAATCTGATGCTAATTTCGCTCATTTATCAGCTTCACGGCTATTCAAAAATTTTACTCGCTTTTGGGAAGGCACCAGAAGCGATAGGTCGATATATCCCATTTTCGCACCAGATCTTGTGTTGATAGAAAAATTAAGATGTGCAAAATTCCAAGACAATCAGACATTTATTTTACATTATGCAAGAGTTACAATTATATAAAATTTTGACCCTATTTGAGGAGGTACTTGATGAAGTGATCCGATATTGTCCATTTTCGCAACTAACCTAGCACTAACAAAAATATTGGGATTTCCATAGTTTGCACAAAATCGAATCATCCTTTCCCCTTTAATCGTTGAATTAATTTTCCTTAATAATTTTAACATTTTGTGGGGGAGGTGCCGATGTTACCCATTTCCGAACTCGATCTAAGTTTGACAATAATATCAATAACAATAATATCGGATACATCCAAGAGCCAGAGGGACGGACATCCCAAGATCTACTCCAAATGTCCTGAAACGAATTTGGTCCAAAGAGATCTACCCTTAGTAGGCATATGACTGAGGGTATAACAATCCAAACGCCTTGAATCTACCGTTACAGTCATATAAGGACTTTATCAAAAGTTGTAAGGGTCCAAAAATTCAACCTTTGCATATCATAATATTATCGCTCATTTAATATTAGGTGTGAAGATGGGATATATCGGTCCAATCCTTCTAGTACTTATATAACCCTTTTTTATACCCTCCACCGTAACTCATCGAAATAAAAATTTTAGACCCAACAAATTATATTTAATCTTGATCAGCTTAAAAATCTAAGACGATTCAGCCATGTCCGTCTGTCTGTCTGTGTGTCTGTCTGTTGTAATCACGATATCTTTCGAACGAATTGAGATAGAAGGCTAAAATTTTGCACACATGTGTATTTTTCCAGTAGGCAGGTAAAGTTCGTAAAAAGGCCTTGTAGGTCCACGTCTTCGTATAACCTCCATATAACGGAACCTCCCTATATTCGGTATTTTGATTATTTTAGCGACATTATTCACCGGAATTGTTTCAAAATAGGTATTTGAAGTTCGTAATGGATTCTACAGCCTAAGACAGAAAATTGTCTGTGGAAGTCCGTCTTCGTATAGCCCCCACATAACGGTACCTTCCGATATTCGGTATTTTGATGATTTTAGCGATATTATTCACCGGAATTGTTTCCAATTTGTCATTTGAAGTTCGAAGTGGATATTACAGCCTGAGGCAGAAAATTGTCTGTGGAAGTCCACGTCTTCGTATAGCCCCCATATAACGGTACCTCCTTATATTCGGTATTTTAATGATTTTAGCGACATTATTCACCGGCATTGTTTCAAATTTGATATTTGAAGTTCGTAATGGATGCTATAGCCTATGACAGAAAATTGTCAGTGCAGGTCTACGTCTTCGTATAGCCCGCATATAACGGTACATTCCGATATTCAGTATTTTGAGGATTTTAGCGACATTATTCACCGGAATTGTTTCAAATATGGTATTTGAAGTTCGAAAAGGATGCTACAGCCTAAGACAGACAATTGTCTGTGCAGGTCCAGGTCTTCGTATAGGACACATATACAAGGTTTCCCATATTCCACGGACCCATGTTTTTTTGGGCCCATTCCAATCGACGAGGCTTGTCCGCAGGCAACATTCTTTGCATCAATTGAATTTTGTACGGGAACAAATGCAAATCAATGCGAATAATCCGTTATAAAGTGGACCGAGCCATGCCCAACTGCTGAGAACGGCGTTTTTGGGATGTTCTTGGGGACCTCTCAACACTGACTCGTACGGCATACGATATTTTGATGATCTTAGCTACATTATTCACCGTTTATTTAAAGTTTCGAATTTGAATATGGCAATGGCTTGTGACAAACAATGCTTATGTAGGTGCACGTCGTACAGGCCCTTATATAACGGCTATATTCGGTATTTAAAAAATGTTAACAGAATTTTTGGCAAATGTTAATTTTTTCGAAAATTTTCAAATTTGTTCTAAATGGTGAAAGTTATTCGAAGTTTGACCCGGCCGAACTTACTGCTTTTTTACTTGTTTTTAATGCTATCGTACCCTATCTCTCAAATTTATATCAGGAAAGACTCTCTCGATTCATGATCCCAATGGCAGCCTTTTCATGACCCATACATATATAGGAATTAATCTAAACCGAACTTTTGTAGACAGCTACAATTAATAAATTTAATTAAACTTTCCTTAAATAATTTTTTCAATGGTTATATATTTATTTTTGGATAAAATATCGAATATATATTTATTAATTAATAATATTTATATTTATATTAATAAGGTTAAATATAGTATTTTTATATGTAGATTGCTTTTTCCATAGAGAAAAAATTAAATGCTTCCAAATACATCTCGTGGGCCCACTTTTTGCAAATATCGTACATTTGTAATAATTGGATTTCCATTGTCATCGCGCATACTCCAAAGCGCCTCATAATTCTTCTCAGTTAATTCAATTGGTTCGCCAATGATGTACCAATTCACACCTGGCGAACATGCTGGCGTTGTGAGGGAACCCTGATAACTATACGGGAACCCGATAACATATGTCACATTGCCTGGACGTAGAATATTATTTATTACTGACAGGACATTATCCAGGATTCCCTCTGTTAGGCCTGCGATTACTTTTCCAAAACGAGCAAAAATCGCCACACCATTCTCATGTTTAGAGGCTTCTTCAAAAGTGAGATACTTTGCATCGTAGAAAATCATATGAGATTCCCAATCGAAAAATTGGCCATTTATGGAATGTTCTGATGATCGCTCACCGTCCTTTATCCAACGGCTTTGCCATTGGTGGAATTTGAAGAGCTTCGAACCAATCAAAACATATGGTCTCAAGAGGTCGTTTTCCACTACGCCAACCAGGCTATTGCCATCGTTAAAGAGTGTCAGTTTATGGTCAATGTCGAAGTTGCAGTTTGCAAATCCTAATATTTGCATCAGTGCTAAGTCAGGTGTAACCAGTAAAGAAAGTCTTAAAGTCGGGCGGGGCCGACTTCAAGATACCCTACACCACTTTGCTAATTTAGTAGAGCTCCACATAACAATTAATAGTTTTTATGGGAGAATACGCTATGGTTATAATTATAATTTAAAGTTCAAAGGACTAAATATGCCGAAGAATTTGTATCTTTTAAATTCGGACATGTGTTGCCCATTTGGTGCACAAATAATTTAAAATCGGATAATAATATATATGCGAGCTATATCGAAATCTGAACCGATCTCGATATAATTTGGCAAATATATTTCTGAGCTGTATTTGATATATTTCCTTGAATATCGCTGTTACGGAATGCATATTACGGTTGTGGGTAACAAATATAATAAATCGGATGAACAATATATATGGAAGCTATAGCTATATCTGAACCGATCTTCACCAAATTTGACACACTAGCTTCTATACTCAATTCGGTCGTAAGTGCCAAATTCCATCCCATTTGGACAAATATTAGACGTTTGATGCATCATAAAAAAGTAAATCGGACGAAGTTACATATGGGAGCTACATCCAAATCTGAACCGATCTCGATAAAATTTGGCAAAAATATTTCTGAGCTGTATTTGATATATTTCCCTGATTATCGTTGTTACGGAGTGCATATACGGCTGCGAAGGACAAAAATAACATATCGGATGAACAATATATATGGGAGCTATAGCTATATCTGAACCGATTTCGATCAAATTTGGCATACTTATTTTTAGGCCTATATGCAAAATTCCATACTATTCGGGCTGATATTACACGTTTGGTACACAATAAAAGACAAATCGGACGATCATATATATGGGAGCTATATCTAAATTTTCAAAATTTTTTTTCAAAATTTTGAATATTCATGAAGCTCATAAAACGCGAAATTAACATTCGATTTCATTCAAACTTAAACTCAATATTTCCATCAACACAAGGTCTGCTATAAAGATGGTAGAGATCGGAACATTTCTTCTGGTACCTCCGAAGTTTTGGGTCGAAGTTTTGAATAGCGAAAACAATTATAAAATCCGAAATAAGCATCCGGTTCTCTTCATATTTCACACATCCCCTTATTTCTACCAACACAAGATCTTCTGTGAAGATGAAATATATCGTTCCCCTCCTGCTGGTACCTCCCCCACAAAGGGTCAAAATTTTGAATATCTATAAAGCTCATAAATTAAAATCCTATTCCTATTCGAAATTAATATCCTAATCCATTCAGACTTGTTACATCTCAATATTTCTTTCAATACAAGATCTGTTATAAAGATGGTAGAGATTTGACCATTTCTCCAGGTACCTCCCCCACATACGGTTCAAGATTTTGAAAAACAAAAAGCTCAAAGAAAGCGAAATGAGCATCCAACTCTCTTCAAATTTTACACAAAAAAATTTTTGCTAACACAAGATCTGTTGTAAAGAACCCCTTTTGGTACCTCGCCCACAATGGGTCACAATTTCCAATAAATGTATCTGTCATAAATTGCGAAATGTGTCAGCGATTCTTTACAACTTGATATATCTAAATATTTCTTTCAACCAGAAAACTGAGATGATTATGGAATTTATGATTTCGCATAAAATTGGGTATAAATGGTCGAGGCACCGTTATATGGGATTAAAACAATTACTAGACCTGCATCACGGGCAACGGATCTACCGTGAATCCCAATTTTTAAGTTTCATTGAATTTGGTTGGGAATTGTGGCAGAAACCTTCAAAATACCGAAAATCTGGAGATGCCATTCTATGGGGGTTTTACCTAAATAATTGAGATCGTGATTTCAACAGACCGGCGGGCATCGATGAATCGGCTTAAAATTTTATGCTGATCAAGAATATGTACACTTTTTGGGGTCTCCGACGAATATTTCGAGGTGTTGCATACAGAATGACAAATTTAATATACTCCATTGAATGGTGGAGGGTATAAAAATATGCAATTATTTAAACGCTCTACCAAACATATTTTATTAAGCTTTTAATCCCCGTCCTTCCATCTGTTGTAATCATGCTAGGGAAACGAATTAAGATAGGAAGCTAAAATTTTCCACAGATCAATCTATGGCATGCAGGCATTTCAAATTTAAAGATGGGCTAATATATAGCCCCTGCATAACGATACCTGCCGATATCCCGTATTTTGATGGTTTCAGTCACATATTCTATGAATCTGACAAAAAATGTTGCACACAGACCATACAAAGCAATTAAGCAAAGGCGTGCTGGGCCGATCATGTGATACCCTACAACACTACAATATGTTTGAAGTCGCCTTATATCCAAATCCATTTTGGAAGATTTCGTTTTTGAAATAAAGTCAAAGAGCCCCGCCCAGAGGTTGCCCTTAGTTTTTTGGCCCGGAGAATTTGGCAATAGTTGTGAAAGTTGTGGTCCATTTTAAAGCTAAATGTAATCCAATGGTCATGCAAAATGCTAGACTTCTTCCCTGTCCTTAACTCTCTTCCGATGCGAAATTCCGTGTCGATTAGTTTCAATTGTGGCCTATAGAGCGACTACAATTGATGGGAATTGTGAATATCGGTCCAGCAGTTCTTGATTTATAAGCAAAATTAAAAATATCCAATTATTTTAAATATATATTGTACCTATTTTTCTATATATCCGATTTCTTGGCTATTAGCATCACTGTAATGGTTAGAAGTGATCTTTTAATGTATTTGTGATTTGGCTGGGATTGAAAATATTGGCGGCTTAATGGACATTTTCCTATTATCTTACATAAAAGTTAGAGTCTATTTTACCCGCTAATTATTGTCCAATGGCCGCCCAAATTGGTAGGATTTTGCCCACTCCTAAACTCTAACTCCGTGTAATTTTTCGCGTCGATTGGTTCATGATTGTGGCCTATAGAGCAACTGCAAAATCAAGAAATTTTTCTGTTTTTGGTCCATTTCAACCCCTAAATATCGTGCGATCATCTCAAAAACAATAGGGTTTTATTTTGACCATAACCCCACCTCCATTTTCAATTTCGTGAGGATCGGTTCATAATTGCGACCTGTAGCTTGATTACAAATTAACATGGACAGACGGACATACATAGCTAGATCGACTCTGCTCGGCAAGATAGGAAGATCCATATATACTTTCCAATATTTCGAGGTGTTACATTATTTTTGGGCCAATCAAACTTCTAATACCCCAAACACACAGTGTTGTAGGGTATAATTACCCCCAAATATTCGAAATTGTCTTTTCCTTACCGTAAATTGACTTTAGCATGTCGATGCTGTCATGTCCGTCCAGATGTCCGTCTTAGTTCCATATATTCATCAGACCTTGGCTAGGTAAGAAAATGCTTTAAATCGCTCCACTTCTTCTGGTATTTTTACAAAGTATAAACATTTCGAATAAACACAACTCTTCATAATTACAGGGAAATTTTATCAGATTATGAATGTAGATTTTAAAATAGACCACACGTGTATCGGCCTTTTGAAAGTTTACATCGTAAAGCAACTTTAATAGATGAGGCAATTTACCAACTTTTCAAAATTTTTCAATATTTTCCCGACTGAAATACCTTGGAGTTTTTTTTTTATAGAAGCCAATATATTTAGTAGAAGTATTTTGTTAATTAAATTAATGAAAACCTTTTCTTTATTGTAGCCCATCCCTAAAGTATGCAATGCGAAAGATCTTCAAATTAAATAAGTTGTACCATATTTATCAAAAAACTTCTCCAAATTCATAGGGACTTATAATAAGACATAGAAGACCAGAAGGACATCACACAAAAGACCAGAAGGTCTTCTAGTCAGAAAGGATCAGAAGGTCTTCTTCTCAAAGGAGACCAGAAGGTAGTTTTCTCAACGAAGACCAGAAGAAGGTCTTCTTTCGAATACCAGACGGAGGACTTCTTTTAAAAGGTAAGTAGATTGTCTTCTCATAGAAGACCAGAATAAGGTATCTTTATTGAAAACCGGAAGAAGCTTTCTCAAGGAAGACCTGAAAAAGTTCTTCTCATAGAAGACCAGCAGATGGTCTTCTCATAGAAGACCAGCAGAAAGTCTTCTCATAGAATACCAAAAGAAGGTATTCTTATAGAAGACCAGCAGAAGGTCTTCTCATAGAAGACCAGCGTAAGGTCTACTCATAGAACACCAGCGAAAGGTCTTCTCATAGAAGACCAGCAGAAGGTCTTCTCAAAGAAGAGGTCTTCTCATAGAAGACTAACATTTTTTAAATTGATTTGTAAGTTAAATTAAAAAAATTAAAATTTATATTGTGAATATCCCGCTGAAAAAAATTCCTAAAAAAATTATGATTATTGACCTGAAAGTATTTTGGAAGAAACCAGAAATACATACTTTAAATATATTTCAGAGTATATTTCCAAAAAATCCACATTTTTGGACTTTGGATAGCTCTCAGATTTTTTTTTTGTTTTTTTTTTTTTGTATTGAAATTGATTTTGATTTCAATATCAATTTTGGATATCATTCAGATTTTTCGGGTGTCTCTTTTAGTGGTGCCTTTATTTTTCCACAATTGCATAAATATATATTCCATTTATTAGTAGTTCATTCGTTCAATTCTTATTCGATTCCGTCCACCATTTTAAGTAGATTTTTCTTCCATTTTTCCTCTGAACATTTCGAAAATTATTCACCAACGGTTTATTGAATTCATCCAAAAGTAAACGGAATGGTGCCATCTGCTGGGGATTAACATCCACCGATCGCGAAAAGATAATCCAAATTACAGCCTCTGCACAGGGTGGTGTTGTCAACGATCCCAAATAGGTGTAATAGAAATTCCTGTTCGAATTATCCACGCCATCGAATAGACCGGATAATTTAAAATTTTCAATTGCCGTTGATGTTTCATATTCTCGTATACTCGATAAAGCTTCGCTGACACCTTGCAAACCGGAGAGATTTTGTGAAGGATTAGTCCGATATAACGCAGTTACAACAGCCACACCATCGCCATGATTTAAAGCCTCCTCCAGACTGCCGTATTTGATGTTGTAGTGCACGGCACTTCAGCAGCATGACGTTGCAGATTGATGACATGTTCCGATCCCAGGCTATCATTGGAACCCCAATGGAAGTGAGCATTGACGAGTTCATAGATTGTGCCATTTGGCAAGGGACCACCGGATATTTGTGGTTTGACGACATCATTGGGATATTGAATTTCAGCCGAGTGGCCATTATTGGTTATGGTAACAGTGTTGGGGGTTTTGTAATTCCAATACGTTATGGTTGGATAGCTTTTGGTGAGGACCTGAGAAGGAGAAAAAGAAAAAAAAAACATGGGAAATTTTTTGGAAGTCCATAACATAACATGGAAAAACAAGTAAAAAAGCTGTAAGTTCGGCCGGGCCGATCTTTGAATACCCTCCACCATTTGGAAAGATTTTGGCAATTTTCCAAAAAATTAAAATCCGTTGAAAATTCTATTAAAATCTTAAAAAAACCGAATGTAGGCGTTAATTAGGGTCTATATGACGACGTGGACCTACATGGGCAACTTTTGTCATAAGCCATTACAATATTTGAATAAAGAAATGCGAAATTTGAATAAAGAAAATTCGGTGAATAATGTAGGTGAAGTCATCAAAATACCGAATATCGGGAGATACCGGTATATAGGGGCTATATGAAAACATGGGCCAGCTAACGAAATTTTTTTCATAGGCTGTAGTACCCATTACGAACATCAAATACCAAATTTCAAACAATTCCGGTGAATGATATCGCTAAAATCATCAAAATAGCGAATATCGGAAGGTACCGTGATATAGGGGGCAGTCCGAAGACGTGGACCTACATGGTCGATTTTCTATCTTAGGCTGAAGTATCCGTTTCGAACTTCAAATACCAAATTTGAAACAATTCTGGTGATAAAAAGGTCCATAAAATCATTAAAATACCGAATGTCGGAAGGTACCGTTATACGGGGGCTCTACGAAGACGTGGACCTGCACAGACAATTTTCTGTCTTAGGCTGTTATATTTATTATGAACTTCAAATACCAAAGTTAAAACAATTCCGGTAAAATCATCAAAATACCGAATATCGGGATGTACCGTTATATGAGGGCTATACGAAGATGTGGACCTGCACAGACAATTTTCTGTCGTAGGCTGTAGTATCCATTACGAACTTTAAATACCAAATTTGAAACAATTCCGGTAAATGATGTCGCTAAAATCATCAAAATACTGAATATCGGGAGGTTCCGTTATGTGGGGGCTATACGAAGACGTGGACCTACATGACCCATTTTGAATACCAAAAGTCCTGCAGACATAATATACATTTGAGTAAAATTTTATCAACCTACTTCATGTCGTTCGGAAGCTAGAGTGATATCCACAGACGGACAGATGGACGGACATCGCCAAATCGACATAGAATTGTATGCTGATCAAGGTGTCTAAATTGTATATTTCGAGGTGTTACAAGCGGAATGACAAACTTAATATACCCTCCAAACTATGGTGGAGGGTATAAAAAACGTCTAGAAGTCCAGAACTTTCTCCAACTTAATATCACAAGGACATCCTTTTTATACCCTACAGGATCAGGGTATTATGTCTTTGTGCATTTGTTTGTAAAAGGCAAAAGGAAACGAGATAGACCCATAGTTCCCTTTGATGATCTGCATAGAATCACATTCTGAGTCGATTTATGCATGTCCGTCAGTCCGTTTGTCCATGTATTTTTGTAAACAAGGTACAGTTCGCATTTATTACCCGATCCAGATGAAATTTTCCAAACAACATTTGTTTGGCCCAAGGACGAACCCTATTGAAATTGGAGATAATCGGTCAAAATTTAGATATAACTCCCATATATATCTTCGTCCGATTTGCCTTTTATTGTGCACCAAACGTGTAATATCAGCCCGAATATTATGGAATTTTGCACATACAACCAAATTAGGCATGAAAAGAAGTATACCAAATTTCATCGAAATCGGTTCAGATATAGCTATAGCTCCCACATATATTGTTCATCCGATTTGTTATTTTTGTCCTCCGCAGCCGTAATATGCACTCTGTAACTACAATATTGGGGGAAATATGTCAAATACAGCGCAGAAATACATTTGCTAAATTTTGTCGAGATCGGTTCAGATTTGTATATATCTCCCACATATAACTTCGTCCGATTTACTTTTTATTGTGCACCAAACATCTACTTTTTGTCCAAATGGGATGGAATTTGGCACTTACGACCGAATTGAGTCTAGAGACTAGTATGTCAAATTTAGTGAAGATCGGTTGAGATATAGATATAGCTCCCATATATACTGCTAATCCGATTTGTTATATTTGTTACCCACAGCCGTAATATGCACTCCGTAACAACGATATTCATGGAAATATATCAAATACAGCTCAGAAATAAATTTGCCAATTTTTATCGAGATCGGTTCCGATTTGGATATAGCTCCCATATATATCAAATGGGCAATACAAGTTCGAATTTAAAAGATACAAATGCTTCGGCATATTTAGTCCTTTGAACTTTAAATTATAATTATAATCATAGCGTCTATGATTGAATTCTCCCATAAAAACTTTTAATTTTTATGTGGAGATCTACTAAATTAGCAAAGTGGTGTAGGGTATGATAAAGTCGGCCCCGCCCGACTTTAAGACTTTCTTTACTGCTTTTTCCTTTAAAATACCAGGGGGCCTACTCATAAGTTCTTTTGTATAAGGCAGGGACAGCCTTTTTGTAGAAGCCCGTAAAGGTCTTCTTATAGAAGGCCAGATGATCCCCCTTTAAAATCTCCTTATGGTAGGGCCGAAAGGTCTTCTTATGAAAGATCCATAAAATCGTCTTATTAAGGACCCTTTAATATTGTCTCTCTCATAGGACCGCTGCTTTTCAACCCCTAAAAATACATACCTCCATTGTGTTAAATTTTATAGGTGACTGACGTCGATTTGAACCACATGCTGGATACTCCTCAGACCATCGATCTTGTTCGTCATAAGTCCATGCTGTGGTTTAATAAAATTTCATATTTTTTTCATAATTATTTCCACTTTATTTTCAAATACATTACCATGTGTGCCACTGCAAACAAACAAAATGAAAATCCAAAATTGTCCCATCAAAGCGTTGGCTCTGGAAAATCCAAAATACCTAGCCTTTGTTCACTTTGGCACTGATTTATAGCCAGAATTGTACAAATCGGAATTTTTATTATCATAGAATGTTTTACATGTTTAATTGCTAATTAAATTTAGAGCGAATTGTTTAATCGTTTTCGATACCGAATAACTAATTGGAAAACACGGCTCAATATGATAAAATTCAATGTTGGTGACACTTAAATGTCCGATGAATACTTTCAAAGACCCAAAGTAACTGAACGATTTTACAAAAACTGATTGTTGAGGTGAGTAAATTTGGATTCAAAACTAAGTGAATATTTGTGTGTCACTTTTGCATTACTCAGTAAACGCCGACATTACCAGATAGAGCAAATCAATAAACAGCGATAAACTTTTTGCACTTCAATGACAAATTTTTCCAAGAAAAACTTTTTCCCCCAAGGTTTGTCGGAATTTATTTTTGTATCCAACAACACTCTTTGTTGGGGGTATTACGTTTGATTGAGCCAAAAATCATTATTTAACACCTGGAAATATTGTTTCCCAACATTGGAAACCATATATGGATCTTCTTATCTTGCCGAGCTGAGTCGGTCTAGCTATGTATGTCCATCCGTCCGTCTGTCCATATTAAATTGTAATAACGCTACAGGTCGCAATTATGGACAGATCCTCACGAAATTTAGAATGGAGGTGGGGTTAAGGTCAGAATAGAACCCCATAGTTTTTGGAGATCATCTCCAAATATTTAGGGGTTGAAATAGACCAAAAACAGAAACAGGCGGGACAGAAGTCTAACATTTTGTTTGGTCATCGGACATTATTTAGGGGGCAAAATATGCCATAACATTTACTTAAAAATTAAAAAAAAAAAACAAGTAAAAAAGTATCGGTCGGTTTTGCCGACAGATTTATACCCTTAGCCCTATTCACCCTCTATGGAGTGGGTTTTGAAAGAATCGTTCAATATTGTCCATTTCGTATCCCACCTAAATAAATATGATATAAATATTATTATACATAAAACTAATTATATATAAAGTATAAAAAAATAAATTATAGTAGATGGATATAGCAATTGTAAAGAATCGCTGAGTTGCTTTGCAATTTATGATAGATGAAAATATTGAAAATTGTGTCTCTTTGTGGGTGAGGTGCCAGAAGGTGTTCGAAGATATATACCATCTTCACAACAGATCTGGTGTTAGCAAAAATTATTGCATGTGTGAAATTTGAAGAGAGTTGTTCCCTTACTGTGCAAAAAATATATATTTTTAAAATTTCGACCATTTGTGGGGGAGGTACCAGAAGAAGTGGACCGATATACTCCATCTTAACACCAGACCTTGACTAATAAAATGATTGGGATGGGTGAAATTTGAAGACAATCGAACTCTTAAATCACATTTTATGAGAGTTGTAATTATTCAAAATTTTGATCATTTGTGGGGAGGTACTTGAAGGAGTGAACCGATATTGTCCATTTTCAGACCAGACCTAGCACTGATGCAAATATTAGGATTTGCAAAGTTGGAGCAAAATCGGATTATACTTTCTCTTTCTGTGCAAAAAATATATGATTTGCAAATTTCGACCTTTTGTGGGGGAGGTAGTGGACCTATATTGCTCATCTCCGAACTCGATCTAAGTTTGAAAAAAATATTATGAAGTCCCCAGTTTGGATCAAATCGGATAGTCCCTTCGAGAGTTACCGTGCGCATCATCCAGCCAGACAGACGGACGGACATCGCTAGATCGACTCCATATGTTCTGAAACGGATTAGCCTAAAGAGACCTAGGGTCTAAAACCGTTATTTCGACTAGGCACGTTTTGACTGTATCAAATTGTATATACCCTCTGTAGCACTATGGCTGAGGGTATAGAAAAAACGAAATTATTCCCTAATTTTTTATACCCCTTCAGCATGGTGTGGAGGGTATATTAAGTTTGCCATTCCGTTTGTAACACCTCGAAATATACATTTTAGACCCCACAAAGTATATATATTCTTGTCACCATAAAAATTCTATATCGATTTAGCGATCACTCTAGCTTCCGAACAAAATAAAGTAGATTGATAAAATTTTACTCAAATGTGTATTATGTTTGCAGGACTTTTGGTATTGAAACTGGGTCATATAGGCCCTCGTTTTGGTATAGCTTCCATATAATTGTACCCCCAGATATTCGGTTTATTGATGATTTATGCGAAGTCATTCACCGCAATTGTTTAAATTTCGTATTTTAAGTTCGTAATGGATACTACAGCCTAAGACAGAAAACTGTCTGTGCAGGTCCACGACTTCGTATAGCCCCCATATAATAGTACCTCCCGATATTCGGTATTTTGATGATTTTAGCGACATTATTTGCCGGCATTGTTTCTAATTTGGTATTTGTAGTTCGTAATGGATACTACAACCTATGACAGAAAATTGTCTGTGCAGGTCCACGTCTTCGTGTAGCCCCCATATAACGGCACATCCTGATTTTCGGTACTTTGTTGATTTTAGCTACATTTATCACCGGAATTCTTTCAAAGTTGGTATTTGAAGTCCGTAATGGATGCTACAGCCTATGACAAGAGATTTTCTGTACAGGTCTGTACAGGTACGTCTTCGTAGAGCCCCCATATAACGGTATCTCTCGATATTCGGTATTTTGTTGAATTTAGCGACATTTTCACTGAAATTGTTTCAAATTTGGTATTTGAAATTCGTAATGGAAACTTTAGTCTAAGACAGAAAATTGTCCATGCAGGTTCACGTCTTCGTAGAGCCCCCTATTACGGTACCTTCCTATATTCGGTCTATTGATTATTTTAGCTACGTTTTTTTTTTCGCCACGGTTCAGGTCCACGTCTTCGCATAGACCGTAATATAACGGCTACATTCGGTATTTTTAAGATTTTAACAGAATTTTTAACGGATTTTATTTATTTATTTATATATATTTTATTTATATATATATATATATATATATATATATATATATATATATATATATATATATATATATATATATATATATAAATATATATACATAAAAAAAATATATATATATATATATATATATATATATATATATATATATATATATATATATATATTTATTTATTTATTTATTTTTTATATATATAAATTTTTTTTTTTTTTTGAAAATTGCCAAATTGCAACAAATTTAGTACGGTTTCGTACTTTTCGTGCACATGAATACCTACTTCCAAAACTACCTTCTCAACCTTGATTTTTATTCAAAAACTCAAGTTTTTAGTTCTAACCGTTCACATGATTCGAAATAGTACCGCATGTAGTACAATTTAGTAATTTTTGTACCCTTTTATTGCGAATATAATACAATTTAGTACCTTTCGTATACTTTAATGCAAATTTGTAAAAACTTTTTGGTTCATTCATTGTACACCAGCCCTGCTCAAAACTGACTGAAATTTGACTGAAAAGAGATATTTTTTCTTGAGCACCGCTGTTATACACCATCATTGACCCTCATTCTAAATGTAGGAGTTCTAGCTCTACTGGTTAGTCAAATACAAGGTGTAAGTGTTTTACCTTATGGTAGACGAACGATATTCCTTCGTCAAATAGCAGATACCATAATCAATTAATGTCTATTAATTTTTTTTCTGTTTTCAGTTATCGGAATGTCTATCAAATAACGAATTTATTAGGCTCTTCAAACCCAGATAACCAGTTCTTCAGTACTGCGATAGGGGAAATGCTTTAGTCATACCTTTTCTCCCCTGTCGACACTCAAACCCACACACACACAAGTGCTAAACAATCAATGCTGTTTGGCAAGACTAATAGCAATAATTTAACTTTTTATGACAGCAATTGACAGATAAGCTAATTATGATCTACACACACACGTAAATAGAATATACATCATTTTTTTTAAATTTAAAGACAATAATAAAAATTAATTATGATTTTTTATTGATTGCAGTTTTTGTTTTCTAATTTCAATTCTTTTGTATTCAAGAACATGTTTTAATATCTGAAAAATCATAGTTCGGTGTTAATCTTGACATTTTTATGCATTTTTCAGATCATACCTTTTGCTTACAGATATTTTGCCTATGACAATGGAATTATCGAGCAACCCCCAGCTGCGTAGATTGTTGTCATAGATCAGTTATAAAAATGAGGCAATATTTTAGATTTATTATGTTTTCGTATGAGGTAAATGTGGTAAATAGTAATAAAAGGTATAATTATTTGTAATAAAAATATTCGTAATAAACTGGAATGCCCTACATTTCAGAATTGTTTTTTTCGGACAGGTATCGGTTTCATGGTCTTATGTGTAATGTGAAATATCTACATAAATAGAAATTGACTACGCCGGTTCCACCTATTCAAATTTTGAAAATAAGGTGCCCATGTTTGTCCACTCTTAGCAACATCGCACAAAATAATACGCACTCGAAATATTCTTTATTTTACTCCAGAGGTAAAAAATGTATTACTTTTCATGCATTACGCAAAAAATTGACAGCGGTGCAAAAAGTAGGATACTATGTAGTATCCCCTTTAATTTATTCATTTTACTTGTGTCAAACTGAAAAGTTAACTAGAATTTAAAAGAAGTTAGAATCGAAATTAAATCGACGTGATTGTAATTATTAAATAAAGCCTACGTTGGGCGCCAGTACATATACATATGGTACGATTAAAAAAAAAAATAATACTAATAAAATTTTAAAAGTATTATTATCTGTCTTTGTGGTTTCTACTCCATGTACGAAATCCCCAAAATTACGTTTTGTTTCAACACATGTCGATATTGATCCAATCACGGCATCATAGAAAGCATGTTTGAAAAATTATAGTCTTAGTGTAATAACCGTACAAAACCCTAGGTCTCTTTGGACGCTTTAGGACTTTTGGAGTCGAGGTAGCCACGTCCGTCTATGCGTCTGTCTGCGCCCACGATTTGTTCCAATCTTGGTACATCGTATCACTTCATCAAAATTAGATTAAGTATCGCGATGGACAATATCGGGCTTCTCCTCCTAGAAAATGGAAAATACTGAGAAAAACAAGTAAAAAAACAGCTCAGATCGGTCGAACCGAACTTTTATAACCTCCACCATTTGCAACAAATTTGGCAATTTTCAAAAAAAATAAAATTAATTAAAAATTTCTGTTAAAATCTCAAAAATAATAAAATGCAGTTATATTAGGATCTATGCAGGGTGAGATAAAAACTGTAACAAAGTCAAACGCCATAATTTTATTTTATTTTAAAATGTCGAAAATAGCATCAAATTTTAGAATAAGTTTAAATTTGTTCGAATTCGTCACTTTTGCCAGAAAGAGAAACGATCATCCGATTTTGCTCCAACTTTGTAAATCCTAATATTTGCGTCAGTGCTAGGTCAGGTGCGAAAATGGACAATATCGGTCCACTCCCTAAAGTACCTCCCCCACAAAGGGTCAAAATATTGAATAGTTACAACTCTTATAAAATGTTGAGGTAAGAGTCCGATTGTCTTCAAATTTCACATATTCAAATATTTGTAAATATCTGGTGTTAAGATGGAATATATCGGTGCACTACTTCTGGTACCTCAGCCAGAAAATGTAGAAATTAAAAAATATATATTTTCTGCACAGATAGAGTAAAGATAATCAGATTTTGCTCCGACTATGCAAATCCTAATATTTGCGTCAGTTCTAGGTCAAGTGCGAAAATGGACAATATCGGCCCACACCATCAAGTACCTCCCCCACAAAGGGTGAATATTTTAAATAGTTACAACTCTTATAATATGCGATATAAGAGTACGATTGTCAACACATCCCAATATTTTTACTAACCCAAAGTCTGGTGTAAGATGGCCTTCAAACGGCCAATGAAACCGTCACATGTTGCCCGAATGTTGATCTGCGGTATTTTGGCCCTTTCCCGGCGAAGCGCTTGCTTGAGGTGATCGACACTTTGGCATTTTTAGGTGCCAACCTTGCTTTTCAAAATACTCCAGACACAATAGTCCAACGGATTGGTATCCGGAGATTTTGGTGGCCATTGACGCTGGAAATGAAGTGAAGAACCTCATTTTGTAACAATTCTTGGGTGGCGCGTGCTGTTGGAATGTGCAAGGTCTGGGGCAAAAATGTTTGCGTCCCAAGGCTTTAATACACCCTCCAGAATATTTTCGCGATAATATTCGGTATTTATTCTGATGCCACGGTCGATTATTATTTGCGGAGAGCGACCATCGGCTGTTTTGGCGGCCCCATCACCATGGCCGGCGCTTGAGTACTGGTGGCCAACCGAAGGTGCACATATTCAGCTGACCTCTTTGGCAAGTAAACACGATCATTTTGTTTGTTTACAAACTGCTGGACAACCTTTTTTTTCATCGGAGAAACCCAAATTCGACAGTTCACCACTTTTGGCCAAACGAAGTAACTCTTTAGCTCATTTGAATCTATTTTCTTTTTGTTGCGGTGTAAGTTCTTGCACTTTTTGGAATTTCAATGGCTTTACTCCGAGCATATTTTTCAATATTTGCCGAATGGAATATGTTCAGCTCACGAGCCATTTTTCGGGCAATACGGTGCGGGTTTCGATCAAGTCGCTTCTTTACTTTTCGAACCATTTCTGCTGATGTTGCTGTTTTCTTCCGTCCACTTCCTTGACGTCGGGCTATGCTACCAGTATCACGGTAACGAGCGAGGGTACGAGACACAAAAGATTTATTCACATTTAAATGCTGGAGTGCTCTAATGATAGCCACTTTGGCTTTCCAGCCAGATATAAAGAAGCTTGAATTCCATGACGAATAACTTTTTTTCTGGAAAATTCTCACCAAAATTCTTTTGTCCGCTTGTAAACAATATAGCGAACTGTCACTGGAATAATTTTAACAGCTATCGTACGAGTGGCTTAGAAATAACAGCACTCTGAAGTTGGTTGCAGTTTTTTTTATCTTACCCTATATATGGATAGGGCAATATGGCTTTTAGGCAAGACTTAGGCTCTTGACCTTTTCCAGAACCCATAGTAGAATTTGGTACCTTCCGCCTAAATTGAATTTCTATGTTACTTTCAGGCGTCAAATTTGTTGCCGGATTTTATATTTTTTTCAATTTTCCTCTCTTTTATGTCAATATTTCGCAATACTGTTCTATAGGGTTATTTTGCAGTCTTCTCAACCGAACCTAGACCTTTGCTCATAAATATTTTATTTGCATTGACGAGGCACAGAACCTAGGTAACTATCTGTTAATGAAGCGTGGCTATTCTCAGATTCATTTAAGATTACAAGCTGTGAAGTTTAAAAATCTGAAAAAAAATGTTCAAGGCTTGGTTTCTGCTGGTCTACATCAGAAGTGTTGCGGGTTTGTAAATGAAAATTTCCGATATACCTTTAAATAGATGAGAGCAAATTATTTATCTTATATATAAATATAGCTTGGAATTACAAGGAGCAGGAGAAATGGAGTGAAAAACATCCTACCTGTGGCTCAGTGCAACGGCAGTCACCCATTGCCTTTAATACAAATGAGGTAGTAGTTTCCGTATTTTCTCAGTATCGTATAGATATTTCTTGAAAGCTATATTCCATTGCAGGCCTTTCTCAAAATAACGTCAACCATTAAATATTCCAACTATGCCGACCCCCACAATGCCAGAATCAGCAACAATGGTCATGGGATTGATATTCGCCTACTTGGATCAGGAGTTAAACCCACAATTTCTGGTGGTCCCCTGCCAGAAGGTGACACCTATCAATTCGATAATGTTCACATTCATTGGGGACTCACCGATGACCTGGGTTCCGAACATAGGGTAAACAATAAACATTTCTCAGCTGAGGTCCATGCCGTCCATTACAATACAAAATATCCGAATGCAACAGGGGCATTTGGATTCCCCGATGGCATTGCGGTGGTGACCACCTTCTATCGCACGAATTCTTCAAAGTTATTTTTGGGCTTACAGAATATAAGCATTGCTGCCCCACCTCTACCCAAATCTTACTTTAAACTTGGAAATTTCAAATTGGCAGATTTGTTTGGTGATTTGGGGTATCTTAAGAAAGGATTTTATACTTATGTTGGATCACTGACCACCCCACCCTGTGCTGAAGCTGTAACATGGATCATTTACACCACCCCAATTGATGTAAGTCCAGAGCAGTTGATGCCATTCCGCTCGGTCTCTGATGCCCATGGAAATGTGTTGGTAAACAACTGCCGTCAGTTGCAGAAGCTGAATGGGCGAAAAGTATATTTTGTTCAGTATTAGGACGAAATAATATATGAATCAAATTTATTAAAAATAAAATGTACAGGGTGAACCAAGAATATGTGTAATTTTTCAAGAGAAGACCTATAGGCCTTACCCGTCTTCTATGAGAAGAGCAACTGGTCTTATATAAGAAGAGCAACTTGTCTCCTATAAGAAGACAAACATGTCTTCTAGAAAAAGACCAAGAGTTTTTGTAGGAGAAGGTCTTCTAGCAGAAGACCAACCCTCTGGTCTTCTAGCAGAAAACCAACCCTCTGGTCTTCTGGCAGAAGACCAACCAACTGGTCTTCCGTGAGAAGACCACCCACCAACTGGTCTTCCGTGAGAAGACCAACCACCAACTGGTCTTCTGTGAGAAGACCAATCTTCTGGTCTTCTATGAGAAGACCAACCAGCTGGTCTTCTATGAGAAGACCAACCCTCTGGACTAACCGACTGGTCTTCTGTGAGAAGACCAACCGACGGGTCTTCTATGAGAAGACCAACCTTCTGGTCTTCTATGAGAAGACCAACCAACTTGTCTTCTGTGAGAAGACCAACCAACTGGTCTTCTATGAGAAGACCAACCAACTGGTCTTCTATGAGAAGACCAACCAACTGGTCTTCTATGAGAAGACCAACCTTCCGGTTTCAATGAGAAGACCAACCTTCTGGTCTTCTAGGAGAATACCAACCTTCTAGTCTTCTATGAGAAGACCAACCAACTGGTCTTCCAGGAGAAGACCAAATAACTGGTCTTCCAGGAGAAGACCAACCGACTGGTCTTCTAGCAGAAGACCAACCTATTGGTCTTCTATGAGAAGACCAACCAACTGGTCTTCTATGAGAAGGCCAACCATCTGGTCTTCTAGCAGAAGACCAACCCTCTGGTCTTCTAGCAGAAGACCAACCCTCTGGTCTTCTAGCAGAAGACCAACCAATTGGTCTTCTATGAGAAGACCAACCAACTGGTCTTCTATGAGAAGACCAACCCTCTGGTCTTCTAGTAGAACACCAACCCTCTGGTCTTCTATAAGAAGACCAACCCTCTGGTCTTCTAGTAGAACACCAACCCTCTGGTCTTCTAGTAGAACACCAACCCTCTGGTCTTCTAGCAGAAGACCAACCCTCTGGTCTTCTAGCAGAAGACCAACCGTCTGGTCCTCTAGCAGAAGACCAACCCTCTGGTCTTCCAGCAGAAGACCAACCCTCTGGTCTTCTAGCAGAAGACCAACCAACTGGTCTTCAATGAGAAGACCAACCGGCTGGTCTTCTATGAGAAGAGCAAACTTTCGGGTCGTCTAGCGGAAGACCAACCCTCTGGTCTTCTAGCAGAAGACCAACCTTCTGGTCGTCTAGGAGAAGACCAACCTTCTGGTCGTCTAGGAGAAGACCAACCTACGGGTCTTGTATGAGAAGACCAACCTACTGGGGTTCTATGAGAAGACCAACCAACTGGTCTTCTATGAGAAGACCTTCAGCTCTTCTAGGGCGAAGACCTTCAGCTCTTCTATGTCGAAGAAGACCTTCAGCTCTTCTATGGCGAAGAAGACCTTCAGCTCTTCTATGACGAAGAAGTCCTTCAGCTCTTCTATGGCGAAGAAGACCTTCAGCTCTTCTATGGCGAAGAAGACCTTCAGCTCTTCTAGGGCGAAGAAGACCTTCAGCTCTTCTATGGCGAAGAAGACCTTCAGCTCTTCTATGGCGAAGAAGACCTTCAGCTCTTCTATGGCGAAGAAGACCTTCAGCTCTTCTATGGCGAAGAAGACCTTCAGCTCTTCTATGGCGAAGAAGACCTTCATTTCTTCTATGGCGAAGAAGACCTTCAGCTCTTCTATGGCGAAGAAGACCTTCAGCTCTTCTATGGCGAAGAAGACCTTCAGCTCTTCTATGGCGAAGAAGACCTTCAGCTCTTCTATGGCGAAGAAGACCTTCAGCTCTTCTATGGCGAAGAAGACCTTCAGCTCTTCTATGGCGAAGAAGACCTTCAGCTCTTCTATGGCGAAGAAGACCTTCAGCTCTTCTATGGCGAAGAAGACCTTCAGCTCTTCTATGGTAGAAGACCTTCTGGTCTTCTATGGTAGAAGACCTTCTGGTCTTCTATGGTAGAAGACCTTCTGGTCTTCTATGGTAGAAGACCTTCTGGTCTTCTATGGTAGAAGACCTTCTGGTCTTCTATGGTAGAAGACCTTCTGGTCTTCTATGGTAGAAGACCTTCTGGTCTTCTATGGTAGAAGACCTTCTGGTCTTCTATGGTAGAAGACCTTCTGGTCTTCTATGGTAGAAGACCTTCTGGTCTTCTATGACGAAGACCTTCAACTCTTCTATGACCAAGACCTTCAGCTCTTCTACCACAAAGACCTTTAGCTTAACAAGATCTTCTGGTTTTCTATAAGAAGTCCTTCTGGTTCTTTATGAGAATTCATATCATGAGCATAGACCTATTTATAATTATAGCATATTTTCGTTTGTTCCGCAAATAATTTGAATCGTTACTTTTAATTACTTCTCACAATAACGACGCAAATACTTCTGCTTACAAAAGTAATAATAAATAAACAACAGCAACAACAACAACAACATTATGGACAACAAAGTCTTTTTCCAATTAAAATTTTTGCTCCATGAATATTGAGCGAATGAATATTTATCTCGTTTTCTTCTCGCCGATTATTCATTCGTGTAAGAAACTGCTGAAGGACCACAAAAGCAACACCATCAGAGACCACCGCTAGCACTAGCATTGAGTCAGCGACATCACAGCAAACGGCATTGAATGTCGTGAAAGGATGTGTTGTCGCACCAACTTTTACGTGTCTTCTTGAATTCATTTCCGGTGGCCCAGTGCAGACACACACCCACCACCACCACCACCGCCTCAGACTCATACAACAAATAGCCTCCGCAATGGAGACAAAGTAAAGGATTTGTTTGTCTCACTGCCAAAATAACATCTTTAAATCTCAACAATGTCTTCGTACAGTACAGTCCTTCATCCGCATCCAACATCCAGCGGAGAAACAAATTCCTTTTCCAACTCTCGTTGTGCAATAAATTTGTTCAAGGAATTCTTGTGCGATTCCGTAGTGAAAAGAGCGAACGGAAGTGAAATGGTTTTCCAGCAAAGATATTCTGCATTTTTGTTTGTTTTTTTGGAAAGTATGAGTGAGTGTGTGTGTGTGTCGCTTTGTTTGAGGAAGGCGTGAAACTCTTGTGTCCTTGTAAAATTCTCATTCACCAATAAATTCCCAAAGAATGCCAGTTAATATAGCAAATTATAAAATTAGTTTGTCATTTGTCATCCAGACCACATAGACCCCGTTGGAGGGGGGAGAGAGGGTGGTAGAAAAGACACAGTCAAAGAGAAAGTCAAATAGTCCGAAAAATTATTTGGGTAAATTGCATTGGAAGTTTGGCAGGGATAATAAATGATTTTTATGCGAAAAAAAAACAATCCTTTGAGTTTATTAATAAATTGGTTCGGATTGAAAATGGATTTGAGATGGCAATGTAATGAATGGAGATAGATTTAAAGTACCACAAGATGGTACTGGTCAAAAAAATGTGTGTGAAATTCATAGCCTTCAGAAACGTATGCATGGTAGGAGTTAAAGTCTCCTCCAAAACTGTTACGGCCATGCGACACAAAAAGTAATTGCAGATTAGATGAAAGTAAAGCTACCAAAGGATTTTTAAAGTTTACATCGAATTTTTTTTTTTAAATTTACATCGAAAAATTTTTATTATACAGGGTAAGAAAAAAAACTGCAACAAAGTCAGAAGCCATAATTTTCACATTTTCTTAAAAAAAAAAAAAAATTAAAAAAGCTATAAGTTTGGCCGGGCCGAAGCTTGAATACCATCCACCATTTGGTAAAAATTTGACAATTTAAAAAAAAAAAAAATAAAATCCGTTAAAATTTCTGTTACAATCTTAAAAATACCGAATGTAGATGTTATATTAGGGTCTATACGACGACATGAACCTGCGTAGGTAACATTTGTCATAAGCCATTACAATATTCAAATGCGAAACTTAAAAAAATCGGTTATAATATCGATAAAATCAAAATACCGAATATCGGGAGGTACCGTTATAATGAGGCTACAAGAAGACGTGGACCTTCACAGACAATTTCCTGTCTTAGGCTGTAGTATCCATTATGATTTTCAAATACCAAATTTGAAACTATTCCGGTGAATAATGTCGCTAATATCATCAAAATACCGAATATCGGGAGGTACCGTTATCCGGGGCCTCTACGAAAACGTGGACCTGCACAAACAATTTTCTGTCTTAGACTGTAGTATCCATTATGAACTTCAAATACCAAATTTGAAACAATTCCTGTAAATAATGTCGCTGAAATCATCAAAATACCGAATATCGGGAGGTACGGTTATATGGGGGCTATACGAAAACGTGGACCTCCATGGCCCATTTTCAATACCAAAAATCCTGCAGACATAATATACTTTTGAGTAAAATTTTATTAACCTACTTCATTTCGTTCGGAAGCTAGAGTGATTTCCAGAGACGGACAGACGGATAGGCGGACAGACGGACGGACATTGCTAAATCGACATAGAATTTTATGCTGATCAAGAATATATACACTTGTATATACTTTGTGGGGTCCAAAAGGTATGTTTCGATGTGTTACAAACGGAATGACAAACTTAATATACCCTCCATACTATGGTGGAGGGTATAACAAATTATTGAATGGAAGCAAAAAATGTCGGAAATAGTATCAAATTTTAGAATAAGTTTCGATTTCTTGAAATTGGTCACCTTTGGCATGAATTATGGCCTTCATACGGCCAATGAAACCATCACACGCTGCCCGAATGTTGCTCGGCGTTATTTTGGCCCATTTCCGACGAAGCGCTTGCTTAAGGTGATCGACATTTTGGTGTTCTTTAGTGCCAACCTTGCTTTCCACACACAATAGTCCAACGGATTGGTATCCGAAGATTTTGCTGGCCATTGAGCTCTGGAAACGAAGCGAGGAACCTCATGGGATGGTTCTGAGTCCTGTTGGAATGTCCAAG